AAAAAGGCTATTAAATTATATTGAAAGTTATTTAAACTGTAGACTTAATTAGTAATTTTTTAAATATAAAAATAAACTGAAAATTAATTTCTTGTATGAAAATAATATAAATAAACTAAATTTCAAAAATATGAAACTAAAATCAAAAATCAATTTTTATGTCATTTCGAAATAATTTTCTGATTCTTTTCTCGTAAATATTCTCTTTCATACTTGCGCCCGGCCTCACAAGAAAAAAAGAGGGGGGGGGGGGAATCTCCCAATTTCATTCCTGGGGATATGGGCAGAGCATCTTTGTGCTTGGGCGCATTATTAGGGGGTCCCTTTCCAGCTCAAGCAAGAAGGATTAGATTGATCTCACTAAATGTCAACATGGCAAATAAGATCAGCAAAGTTCCACATATTCAAATGATAATGGAAAAATATTACTGAAGGATCATTTATTTAATGTTAATAAAAAAATAAAAAATTTTGAAATATTATTGGAGGATCAATAGAATAATTTAAAATAAATTTTAGATGAAAAAATTATGATACCCTTACCTTTCTTTCTTTTTAATTGAGAAATAGTTTATTCTTAAGTTAATAAGGACCATTTGCATATTTCAATAATATAAAAGAATTTGATTGTGGAAAGAGATAATTGTAGATTATATTTCAATAGGTAAATATTTTTTTTAATTAGCAAGTACCTATTTATATTATTATTTAGTAAGAAATTATTTGCTAATTGATAAGTTCGATTATGTAAAAAACTCAATCATGAAAAGGAACAAGTGTAGATCATGTTTTAGCAAAATAACAATTTATTAATTAACAAGTATTTTTTTACATTTAATAAAAAGTCATTTGCTAATCAACAAACTCAAAAATTTGAAAGAATTTGATTGTGAGAAGGGATAATTTAAGGATAATTGTAGATTATGTTTCAACTAATAATAATTTATTAATTAATAAATATTCATTTGTAGTTAACAAGAAATTATTTACTAGTTGATAAATTCTTTTTCTCTAAAAGAAGAGAAGAAATATTATAATTTTTTATCTTTTTTTAAATTAGTTTCTTCTATTTTTTAGTAATTTTTCAAAATATTAATTTTTTAATATTAAATTGCTTGCATGAAGTAACATTTTAAGAAAACATATCTACAGATCCTTATAGTTATACTCAATTTAAATTAAATTCCTACAGTTTATTTTCATTTAATTAACTCCTTATAATTTGACTAATTAAAATTTTTTAATTCCTAAAAGTTAAAATCCTTTCAGTTCTCCTTCAAAATGCAAAATTAAGAACTTTTATAACTTTATTAAATGATTATATGACTTAAAATCAATAACATAATTTTTTATAAATTAAAATTTATATAATTAAATTGTCTTTTAAATATTTTTTTTACGTGTACAGTTTT